GTCAACAACATTGTTCGAACAAGCGTGAACAATATTGTTAACAAGCCTTGTTGACAGGGTGCAGCACAACATTGCTGCAACCTGTTCTGAACAATCGTGAACAAGTTGTTGACAACGTGCGACAACATGATGATTTTTACGCGTGTATAGTTCACTTGTTTGTGTGGTGGTGCCTGCTTTTTATAAGAAATATAAACTTTTGACTTGTACAAGTTTGAATAATTTTCCTTTTGAACCGCATAGCGTGATAAACACGCCGAATCATGCATGAAGTATGATCAACCGACGAATATGAATTGCTCAATGCCCGATATATTGCTCTTTACTCGACAACAAGCTGACAATATTGAGTACACAACAGTAAGTTTAATGGTTTATCTGTTGTTTGTTGTTGATAAATTCTAGTCTGCATGTTTTTGCATGATTAACGATATATGAGAGCTTATCTTTCATAAATAAAATACTGCACAAAATATATACCGCATTTGAATTGTTAGTAGATATATTTTCATCTACAATTTATAAAATTGACATACGAGTTGGACAATATTTTAAACCAACTACATGTCCTGGTTATATATAGCCAAATTCTTAAAGCTTATATAATTATTTTATTTGCAAAGATTGAAATGGTGAACAAAACAAGTTTTGACTTTTTTCCCCATTGCTAGCAGCAGCCTTGTCTTTGCCATTTCTCATGCTATTGTAAATTATGCAATTAACCTGAAATTTATATTCCTTCCATGCATTAGGACACTTTCTCAAACACCATAAAGGCAGATTGTTATTGGGACAAGCGGTTAATATCATGAAGCATGAAGATCTCTGAAAGAGGCAAACCTATAGTCTGACTGCATTCATTAATTTTGAGCCTTTCTATGCATGACAGGATTTAGTGTAAGATGTAAATGTTCAAGACTATCTGTGGAGAAAACACCATATTATATAGCTAATGGTGAAATTCAAATAGATTGCTGACTGTAATGAATGCCGCTGAGAGGGGGGGGGGGGCATTTTGGCTTGGG